TGCAGATGATGCCGATCCTTTGGTTTCCCTGCAAATTGACACATTAAGCCAACCCATGATTCAGCGTTCTCAAACTATGAGATGCTATCCCCCTTCACGCGGTTTGCTTCCGAGAAACCATCCGTTTGGAGATGTTTCACTCGTTGAGCATGTACTGTATCATTTTGAGCGTGGACATCGAAGGAAGGCTGCAAGCGACCCATGATGGTGCAGCTGATGGGAAGTCTGATAAAGACATGTTCCCACAAGCAATGCAGCCTTTTTCATTTCCAGATGTTTGAGGATCCGCATGCACTATTTAATTCATTCTTTGATAGGTCACCAGTCATTAGCGAAGTTGTTGCCACTTGCCATTGCCAACACTACTCCCTGGAAGATTTTCAAGTCATGCCTTTCCCACCAAGCTTAATCTCAGGATTGAACTCATGTAGCTCGATTCCTTTGTTGCCAACTCCCAGCCCAGATGCCTGGCATGGCCTCCTTGCTACTTCCCACCTCTCACAACTTGAGGCTGGCGGCGCTGTGGGCAGCTGCCGGCTCGCATCCTCACCTGGGCACCGCGCCTGCGGGGCTCTTCCCCAACACCACCGAGGCCGGAGCCGGCCAACGCAACGGGGGGGTGGGGGGTGCATGGGTTTTGCACAGAAACAGCGTACAATTGAGGCGACTTGCTGCCGGCCATCAATTGACTGAAAGGATTTGCGTTCAGTGGAAGGGCACAGTCACCCAAATGGCCCTATCGGCAGCCAACTTGTTTGATTCGCAAACACTTCCGAGGGTTTAGATTGTGGCTTGGCAGTGGGCAGGTTTCCTTGGTCGGGATGCAACTGTCCAATCGCAGTGTACTGGTATCCTCGCAACCAACACATTTTAGAGTTCGGGGGCGCGAGGTGTCATTATCCTATGGCTCGGTCTTCCTTCAGGATTTGGCCTCGGGCTTGTCCTGCAGCTGAAATCAGAGTCACCAAGACAAACCCAAGACGTGCTATTTAATAAGCAACGAAAGCAAGTGGCAAGTTGAGAAACAGAGGCTGCTCTCATTTCGTGGCTTTCTTTTTCCTCTCTTTAAACACCGTAGATTGCTAAAAAACCTGCTTTCAAAGTAGAGTCGGTCTGTGTTTCCAGCCTGCTTCGCCCTTTGGGCAAGGTGGTGCTGGTGCCTTCGCCAGGACGGTGGGATGTGGGCAAGACCTGGATCCAAGGCAACAGGTTCTGTGCCAGAGTGGCTAATTCACGTCCGCTCGGTCATATCGACCAGGTTGTGGCAAAGGGTTGTTGGGGCTGAGTCAACAACCAAGATTTATTCCGAAATGATTCGTTCTCGCGCGGAAATTCCTTAAGTTAGCCTTGACATACAGTTTCTAAAGTGCACAATGAAACGCAAAGTGTTGGATTGCATGCTATTTTGGTCCTTCCGTGTAGGCTGCATGATTTGGTTACCCCATGTCACCATGTCACCTACCGCCGTCCATATATGTTTGCCAGCACGCCCTCCCGAATCCCACAACAGGTGGGCTCGCTTTTTGTGTCGCCTTGTGGATTGTATATTTTCTTAGTCCGTGTCACCTTCCGCAACAAGCTGGCATGTTTGGGTGTTATTGCCACTTACGCTCGCCAGCGCGCGCCCCCGAATTCCTACATGGCGTGGTCTCATTTTCTGTGTTGTGCTTAGCATATTTTGGTTCCTGCATGTCACCTATTGCTTCCTACGTTTGCCAGCTTGCGCTCCCGAATCCTTCGACAGCAGGCGTGCGCATGTTGTCAGCCTTTTACAGCTGCCAAATGCACTTCTTGCCAGCCCGACAGCACTCCATTTCGCTGCATGTTGAATTTCCAGATGGCCCCCTGAACTCACCATGAAACTCTCTTAAGTGGTTCCTCTAGAACTTCAACCTATTAAACGTGCCCATGCAGCCTCAAAACGAAGCACCGCTACACCGGCCAGGACGCAACTTGGATCCCAACGAGATGTTGCTGAAGGAGCTGTTTGGTCTGCTGAGCGAACAGCCAGTGCGAGCCTTGCCAAAGTGGTGCTTAAAAGTTACCGGAGGTAGTCTCTTGGCAGGTGTATGGTGTGTGAATTGCCCAAATTGCATCCCCGACATCTAGACACGACGGGTTGCAAGAGCAAAGTGCCTTTGTTAATCGGTAGCTCCATTAGGCCCCCGGAACCATGTCAGCATTCCCTCCACGGTTTTCTGCCAAAACAACTGCTTTTCCTGGGGTTGAGCTGGTCAGTAAAACGGTGGGTTGGTCCCTTCAAATCAAGCAGGCGGAAGAGACGACCAAAAAATCCAGCGCAATCCCGCAGAAAAAACAAGAAGACAAAAAAACCGCAGCAAGCCGCCCAAAGCCACTCCGCCGTTCAACACATTTGCGCCTGGCCTCGAGGCAGTTTGCTGCCCTACGAGGGCTGCCGCTGCTACCGCCGGGGCGCGGTGTGGGGCGTCTTGGAGGCGCCCTTCTCGGGGCCCGGCGCCATGGCAAGTTGGCGTCAGGGGCCGCTGGTTTGGGGCCGTTTGGTTTGGAGAGGGTGGTGGGATCACTCGGGGTTTCTCCAACCACTTCTGTGATACAAGGGAATCCCCCTTTAACACAATAGTTTTGGGGAAGCCCTTTCCGTTGTATCACGGGGGTGGTCATTCCCCACGAGAGAGAGCAAGAAAAGGGGAGTTTGTGTCGCTGATGGCGAGAAATTGAGGACCCCCACCCAGCGCCAAAGGCTCTCAGGACGCTTCTGAGAACCCCTTCGAAGAGAAGAAAGTCCCAAGAAGCTTTTCTGCAGGTTTCCTCCAGAATGCTACTTTTCGCTCGAGGCGAAAGCTGGCGATTAAACATTTGTCATCTATGAATGTCTGTGGTACAAAACAGCTCGCAGCTGCCGGTTGGCGGCGGATGGAACCCAGAGCACCCCCGAGCGGTCCTGCGGTAAAGTACACCGGCTCTCCCCTGCCACAGGAGGGGAGCCACTGCGTTTGCAAGTTGGGCATGAAGGGGCACAAAAGGCAAACACACCCAACATGCCGGAGCATATTTGCTTTGTCAACAATTGAGGACGGCGTGGAATACTGAAAGGGAAAGGAAGAAGCTGAACATTTGGTCGCCACGCTTGCAGCATGTCAGCTACAACACAGGAGTTCTCAAGACTTGTGCACGGCCGCAGAATCATCCCCATGGAAGCAATTTGACCATGTCGCAGACGAGCAACGGTTAAGCATGCCAAGGACGCTGTCATCATGCCTTATGGATATGTTTGGACTGGAGGTACAGCTCTGTTCATGTGCTTCACTGGTTGCTCCTTGAAAAAACTGAAAGAGCTGCAAGTTCGATGCACGCTTATTTCTCGTGTTTCTGCCCAGCCAGATTTGAAATTGCACGGCCGAAAGAAACATTGAAACCAGGATGCACGTGCTCAAAGCGACACGAGCTCAAAGAACTGATTGAGACCCTCCGCTAAAGGATTCCCGCACCTCGAAGATGTAAGGATGTGAAGTTCGTGTCTGGGCTCGCGGCTCCAACATCTTGCGAAGTTCAGACTGCCTTGGGGACTCCATACATTTGAGCCGGGCCGGTGGCAACCTCGCCCGAGGGCAACGAGGCAGTCTCCAATAGATTTCTTGATCGAAAATTGCAGGCCAGGTGAAGTGGCATCATATGCTTTCGGCAAGTATCATCACTGCTTGCCATGCTTATTGTCATCGGTGTCATTTGTCATCCAGGCATGGTTGCATGTTAACTTGAACACATGCAAATTACACATCCACACCCACACATGCGCACACACACACACATATGCTTGAAGACCACGCGTGAATAGTCTATGGACCATGTCATTGGCTACATTCTTGATGACCATGAATGATCTACCTTTTGCGGACATCTCCAGCAGTCACTCAACAAGTTGACGGGCAGTGAGCAGCAGCCTCCTTTGATCTAGCGCATCTATTCTCATGGTTTCGTCTATGGGTTTGACATGAAAGTTGATAAACGATTCGAACAGTTTACCGCTGTTTACTCGGATTGCAATTTCTCTGCGCTGAGGCGACTTGGCGTGGCCCGACTCCTCGGCACTGCGGGCCGTTGTGTCCCAGCGAGCCCACCAAGCTGTCGCCCAAGGGAGGGCCCGGTGGTCAAAGGCGTGGGAATCGGCAGGTGTGCGGACGCTGCTGGTGGAGCGGTGCAGCCAGGCAGGGAAATCGTCGTTTCAGCTTTGTTTTTGCCGCAGGTCTGGTTTCTTTGGTTGATGTTGGCCGGGGTTTGTCGTCCATGTGCCTGCCCATGCTCGAATGTCATCATCCGCCACTCCATTGCGCAAAGTTAATCACAGCCAGAATCACACAGTTCAAGAAGCCACCCCTCAAACAACTGCATAACCGCATTTTCCCTGCACCGCATTTATATTTTCCAGCTGCGTGAGTACCCCACACCCGCAGCCGACCGGTCAGGGAGGGTGCCCGAAGCGCAACGTCACCAACTTTCCGCTCCTCACCGCAGCGTTGCGCCGGCAGAAGCAACTGGCGCTAGCACAGATCCGGCGGCTTGGCTCTCGGAACTCAGGGAGACGCTGGCTGACAGGGGGGGGGCATTAGACTTAGCATCATTTGTTTTGTCCTGTTTGTGCTTGAAGAAATTAGCCCAGAGTATTTTGGATGTCCGTCTTTTCCCCCAGCTTGTTTGCCTTCCATGTCAATGTGGTTTATATCTCCCACAAATAGTCTTCAGTGAGCGGAGTAAAGCCTTGAGTGAGCGGTTCTGAGAGGTAAGAAAGGTTGGGAGAGCACAGACGGCAGGCAGAGAATAGCAGATAAGGACGATTGATATATTTTGTTTCTTTTTCTCCCTCTCTCTCGCCCTCTCGCTGTCTGGGGTTGGGAATTCAGGTGCAATCAACATGCTGCTTGTTGCCACTTTTGGCTTTGGTACGTCTTGACAGGTCATTCCTTGAGCGGACAGGGAATCTGCTTGCTCACTCCGTCCCTGGCCTCTTGGAGCCGAGGCTCCACGAGCTCCCGCTGCTGGAGCAAGTGCAAGTGATGCTCGAGACGCAGGCCGGGAGATCCGGGAGACCGGAAGCCGTGGGATGATATGACAAGGTATAAAGTTTCCAAAGCGGATGCGAGAGGCACGCAATCTTCATATTATTTCTGAGTGGATATGGGGAAGCCAGGTGATGCTGGCTGTGTTTGGGGCAACGCTGGCATGGATTCCGCTGATGCAGCCGGGCTCCTATGTCATTGAGTTGCACCCAGGGCCGCCAGAATCTTTGACGTGCCCCGGCAAGGCAGCCTATCTGTTGCAGAGCATTCTTGGACTTCACGTTCTGCTGTCGTATCCGTCCATGTTCAAGTGACAATGGTATCCGTGTTTGGGTATGTGTTCTCGAATAAAAACAAAGAAACAACTTTCCAACTGTCGAGTGAGCCCTGAGGGCAAACACTTTTTGCGCATGTCTGCCAAGTGCCATGTGCTGTGAGCGAAGGGTTCCTCAAGTTGGCAATGCGCTGCCTGGGCTTCAATTCAACTTTGGCGCTGCTACTTCGTGGTTTGTTTTCCCTTCCTTGCTGGCAACTTGCTTTGTGGATACTCTGGGCCCTTAAATCAAAAAATATATCTCCAACTCTCAGCCTCTTCCGGATTCAAGATGCCCCTCATCCGTCTTGACAAGTGTTTACACATCGGCACGAAGCGAAGACTACACGCTGCCGACCGTTTCCTTGCCAACGAGTTTGGCTCTGCCAGGTATGAGTATGGTCACTGGTAGTTGGCTTCGCGTTTTTTCTGTCACTGATACACACACACACACAGATTGCAAGATTGCGCTGATCACTTTCTGCGAAGCACCATATTTCAACTGGAGTTCATGTTGTCTTGTTGGAAACCCTGTTGTTGTTTAAGGGGGCAATTTCCCAGGACTCCCAGGAAGAACTGGCCAGGCCTGAAGTCCGTCGCACATGTTGAGACAATCAGAAGGCTGGCACGATGCCTCGAATTGAGGCTGTGGGGCAGCTGCTGGACGCAGCCGTACACCCTCTTTCCCAGCCCAGGGGCCTCACCAGGTGTGGCCTGGGACGTGAACCCGCGATGCTCGGCAAAATCGAGCGTGATGGGCGTGATGGGAAGACCGAGCTTGGGTCTTGATTTTTTTCAGTTTTGGGGATAAGATCCGGGCAGGTGGGAACAGTGGGCAAGCTGCGATGAACTCATGTGCCCAAAGATTCAAGCCCTGAGTCGCTATGGGGACCGGGGACAAAGGCTCCTTCCTTTGCCAGCTGCGAGCCCGGTTGTTGCACCGGAGTGCGTGTGTACATGGAAACCGTCAACCTTTGAGGAAGCTGCTAGAAATAGCGATGCCTTTGTTGCTTCAAGTTGGTGGAAGAGCATATCCGAGCATCAGATTGTTGCAGCGCCTTATTGACTTATTTGTTTGAGAAAGCGGCCGTTGCCGTTGTCCTTTTTTTCCCCCGCGTGTTTATATCTTTTCTTTTTTAGAAAGTGGCGCCTGAACTTTGAGGCAGCGAGTTCGGGAGCTGGGCCCGGGCGGCACGGGTGCACTACGCCTGCGTGGCCAAGCCTGCCGCCACTAACAGGCTGGGCGCACAGACGAGTGCATGGGCGTCATTTTTTTCTGGGCCCTTGACCCGATGGAAGGATTTGGGCTGGCCCCCGTTTTGTTGTTTCCAGCCTGTGGTAAGCTTTGGTAGCTGTTTGTATCGATGTTGGGGCTTGCTGTAGCTCTTTGTGTTGTTTTTTGTTGGCATCAAAGGCTTGATTCGGCTTGATGACGATTCCCGAGGCCGGCTGTCGGGAACACATAATTCCATAACCGTTGGAGGAGAAATCATGCTGATCTTTTTTTCCTGGAATTGGTTTATTCTTCTGCAGCGTGGATAGATTTGGCTGGTTCAATTTACCAGGCATTCTGGATGATGTTGAAGCTCTAGATTTCTGCTTGACGGTCTGTGGCAGTTGAGTTGGTCAAAGGAAGCTTAGAAGGAGCTTTCGTATTACTGGAATCAATTGAAGCTAGCCCTCTCCAAGAATGCATGCACCTGCGCGCGATCTTTAAGACGAGATGGACTGCACGTGAACAAGCTACGAACCAGCTACGAACCGAAGAGGGTTCGGAGCGGGTGCTGCGGGCCTATTGGCACGGCGACGCGCATTGTCAGGCAAACTTCAAAGTGAACAGAGAGAGAGAGAGAGAGAGAGGGAAAGAAAGAAAGAGAAAGAGAGAAAGAGAAAGAGAGAAAGAGAAAGAGGGAAGGGAAAGACAAAAGAGAAATACAGAAAGAAAAAGAGAGAAAGAGAAAGGGGGAAGAGAAAGAGACAGCGACAGCGAAAAAGAAAGAGACAGAGACAGAGAAGAAAGACAGAGAGAAAGAAGTCAACAAGAAAGAGAATGAGAAAGAGACGGAGAGAGAGAGAGCGAAAGAGAGAGAGAGAGAGAGAGAGAGAGAGAGAAAGAGAGAGAGAAAGAGAGAGAAAGAGAGAGAAAGAGAGAGAAAGAGAGAGAAAGAGAGAGAAAGAGAGAGAAAGAGAGAGAAAGAGAGAGAGAAAGAGGGAGAGAGAGAGAGCAAGAAAGAAAAAGAGAGAAGCATAAAGAGAAAGAGAGACAGATAAAGAGAAAAAGATAATGAGAGAGAGCGAGAGAAGCGCTTCTTAGATTTCAGCTGCAAGGGTTCAGCTTTCCATATCCCAGGATTTAGATTTCTTAAGCACAGCATGGTGGTGTCTTAATCCAGGATTCATAGTTTTCACTTGCAATGTTTAGGATTTAGGTGTCTAAAGCCAGGGTGCGAAATCTCCCATTTGTTCGGACACACTTGTTCGCAGCATTTGAACGTATTTCCTCACGCGAAGCAACACAGCAACACGGGTACGGTAAGGGAGGGTTAACATACTTCCCCCAGTCAATCAATGAATAGGTTGATGAATGGGTGAACGGTTGAACGGAAGAATGCAACAACTTTGACGAGCTAGTATCTGCGCACCAAGCTCATCAGCCGATGCATGTAAAGGGAGAGGACTCCAACCTTGTCTTGGGGGGAAGTCTTGGGAGCGTACCTGTGTGATTGTGCAAATTACGCCCGGGCCAGTTCTGGGTGCAAAGTGGCTGCAAACTACACTTGGCCAAAGGGTTTCTTCAATCAGAATCAAGCACGGTGCGCGGTAAATAGAGCACTGGGGCCACTTGAAATCTATAGACGTCGATTCCATCCGAAAATATCTCTTCATTTTTTCCCAGCGGGGGTTTCTGGCAGGCGCTGCCTCCGCACGCTCTCGGTGGAGCAGTTCGAGGTGCCCTCCTTCGAGGTGGACGTGGACATGGCCGCGGGCCTGGCCTTGGACGCCGCGCGCCGGCTGAGTCGGTGAGGCGGCGAGCCGGGAGAGCTACGTCGAGCAACGCGGCCGGACACCCGCAGAGTGCAACGAAGTGCGCGAGCGAGCCCAGAGCTCGACCTTGATGGCCTTGACATCCCTCAGATGTGGGACCTGTATGGCAGTCCCTAGGGAACAGCATGGAGCACCGGAGACCCGAGACCTCCCACTCGACGCATTCGGTTGACATGGAGCCGGAGGCATGGGCGGAGAGACGGTGCCCGCTTGCCAGTGCCCGGTGGACTTGTACCTTGGGATCAGCGAGAACCTCTATGCAGTGTATTCTCCTCTGGGGTGACTGAGTTTCCCCATCTGGATTGGTAATATGGACGGCTTGCGGGAAGAGAGAGGGATGGCATCCCCTCTCTCCCTTCAGAAGCGGGTTAATAGAAGGAAAGCTGGAGATGAGAGATGGAATGCTTGTCTCCGAGGAAATCTGTGAGTGATAGAGTGGAGAGGAAAGGATTGAGTGGATGACAACCAGCATTCCCAGAGTGGAAACATCTTAGTGCCGTTGGTAGCACAGCGGATGCTGGTTTGAGAATTGTAACATTGTATTGCGCAAAAGGGGCAGCTTCCATCCATGCGGGTGCTGCAGAGGGAAACCTCTGAGATGCAAGGTTGCCGGGACCTGCTTTGGCCGCAGCGGATAAAAGAAGTGCAGCATGCAGAACACTTGCGACGCAAAACATGATTCACGCTTTGCCTGGCTTCCTTGCAACATCACTCACCAAAAGCAAATGCCTTTGAAGATGACTGCGACTTTGGGACATAAACCTGTACTGCTGAGATGAGCGGATTGGCCTCAGTTGTCAGCTGGGAGGCGCTCTATGCCGACTTGAAGATCAAGCACAACATTGAGGATGCAGACTTGCAGGCGCCGATTCCTTCAAGGGCCTCAACGTTAAATCGCGTTCAGTCTGTATTTTTCCATTGTTTTACAAAGATCTACTTCCATTGCTCTCTGGACTGCCAGGGTTGGCTTACGCCCCAATTCTCCTTAACCCCTGTTGCCTTGAGTGCTGTAGTTCGCGCACTGTCAGACTCTCCTCCAGCAGATCAAGCATATCCGAATCCGGGAGCAGGGGCCTTGGAAGCTGGCTGTTGCCACTCCACTGTCTGCCGCTGCTGCTGCTTACAATGTCCTTGTGGCCATCCAACTTGAGGTTCGATCACGGTGAGGACGAGTTTTTCAACAAGTTCTTTGCTAGACGCCAGCGGAAGCCTGAGAAGGGTTGATCTTTTCCGCTCTTGGAAGGCGCATGTCCAATGTTAAGTCCCTTGCGGCTCCTTGAACTCCTTGAAGCATCAAGCGCTGGAAGACGCAAATTGCAGGATAGCGTCCAACAGAGCAGTCCTATCGTCATCTGGCTGTGGGTCAAAACCAATGGGATCCCATTTTGGGGCAGGTGAATTCACCACCCATTTTAGAACCTATTTTAGTGGGGATTGAATCGGATGCTAACCGGTTTGGCTTTTGACCCATGGCCATCTCATTGCTTGTGAGATGAGGTTGGGCATCATGGCGCACGAGCTGCAGCCAGTGATGCCCACTGCAGCAGTGCCCCAAGACTTCAGCTTGTGCATGTGGCAAGTGGACGAGAGATGCTGCCTAGGTGGACAAAAGGGGGTTGTTGTTTGGTTTTGGGAACTTTATTGGAGGGTGGTCCAAAATGTCATTTCAGTTCTTCAAGGTTCTTTTTTGTAACAACAACACCTACTGCCCTGCCACTGTCGCTTTCAACAACCCGCAAGATCTTTGGCCTTGCAAGCTTTGTAGCTTCATAATGAGCTCTGCCGGAGAGGACCCACCAAGATGTCTACTCCAGATTTGCGTTTGAATGCCCATCGCACCAGAACTTACCTTGCAAGCTGCAGACTGATCCTTGGAGAAGTTCTCGAAGTAAGCCTCACGTCGCCGCAATAGTTTGGTGGTTCGGAGAGGTCAGTTCAGCCACTTGGGAGCGGTTGGCCGAAAGGGGCAAAGCGATTCCAGACGTGGGCTTCAGGTCGGAGTGCTCCCCGAGCGGAGATGGACGAATCCGAAGGGAGTCACCAACCAGACGAAGAATGCACAGCCCTCAGATTCTTCCTGACCGGGTTCCAAATAAGACGAAGATGACTGCTGGCCTGGTGCAAAGCATGGCATGTGACCGCCTGGCAGGGCCTGTGTCAGAGCCTTTCTGTGATGTAGCACCCATGCTCTCAGGTCTTCCATGTTCTGCTTGGGACAAATAGTTATGATGCACGTCTCCGTGGTGGAATTTGTCTTTGAATTTGTGCGAAAGCTTGAGATTTGGAGAATGGTTTTTTACAAGCGGCCATTGGCTGCACCACGTCTCAAGCCGAACATTCATGCAGGACGCCAGATCACAAGCAGGAGGTGAAGCTTAGAAGGCAAAAGAAAACTAAGAGCCACGGGTGTGGTACACTTGGTGGGACTTGACGCTTTCTAGCGCGACCCTGCAGTGGCTTTCTCGTGCTCTTCAGGTTATGCTTGTTCGGGACACGCACTTGCTGTTCGCGACACTCGGGTGCCGCTCTCAGGTCTTCAAAGAGGAGCCCAGGCAATTGGATCAATGGGGTCATTGTGCGTTTTCATATGGACCATGTTTACTTCACCGCGGCTCAAGTGCTTTGGGCTCAAGTAGCATACTTCCGACTAGGTTGTTTGTTGCTGCAACCCTGTGCTTTTACAACTTGCTGTTCTTTACCTGTCGACTCAACTTTCTCTCTTCAACCATGATCTGGTCGCTGGTCCCGGGCTCCGGTGTTCCACCCCAAACCTCAATTTCAAAAGGGTCTCTCTCTCTCTCTCTTTCCATGTCCGAGCATGGTGTGCTAGTCAGTCCTGGATTTGGGGCCGCCCTGGGGCAGGGTGGGGGCCGGTGGGGGGGGGGCAAGAACATTGTGCGGCGCCCGCCCAAAAGTGTTGTTGCAACATGTGAGCCCAGATTTATCAACGACTTCCCCCACAGGCCCCAGGGTGACCGGGTTGACCCGGCCGAGCTGAGGGCCGTCCAGCTCCTTGCGAAGAAGGCGGACGTCTGGGACGAGGGCATCGAACAGCTCTTCAAGGAGCTGCAAACCAACAGCTGCTTTTAGGGAAAGGGCACCGCAGGCGTGAGGGACCTGGATTTTTTTGTGGACCAAGCAAATGGGGAGTGTTTGGTTTTTGGAGCTTTGGAGCATGGGCTGCCGCTCGCGAAGACAATCCGCCCATCAGAATGGCTGTGACATTTTAGCAGGTTCGAATAGTGCTTGGAGCTCGCACTGGGGTGAGCATCTTGTTGTGTATCCGGTGCAGACCTGAGGAACGTGAGTTTATATTCGCCTGATCCCTGGCGTTGACAAAGTGATTCACTAGATGGCGGCCTGCTTGAGTCTGCAGCGTCGGCAAAGCCTTTACAAAGCAAGAAAGAGAGTGGCATGTATTCGTTTGAATCTGTGGCATGTGCCGTGATTGGCCCTGAATTATCCTCAATTTGTCCATAGCACCGACAGTTTCCATAGGCTTAAGGCTCGAGGTGCAGCATTCCGCCAGCATGTGACGGGTTCCCTTCATGTCTTCACCTCAGCCATGCGTGCCAACTATGACTGGCGCTGAATTCCTAGACGTTCAAAGCGGAAGATTTGATCAAGAAACTAGGCCCAACGTGGGCAGCTTCGGGCATCCGGACTTGTGCGCTAAGCCGTGTATTTTCCTGATGCGTGGAATGTGCCACAGGGCCGAATTTTGTGGGTACTGTCACTTGGAGCACCGAGCCTCGCCTGCTCGATTGTGCAAGCAGGACCGTGAATACTTGGGATGCTTTACAGCTGCGGAGGTGGTGGCCATGATTTTGCCACATCTAAAGTCCAGAGTTGCAAGCTTGGGTGTGCATCATCAAGCCTGGGACCTGATCAGGGCTCTGCAAGCTGTGGCTGAGCGATCAATTGGAAGCGCGGATTTGCAAGCTTCAAGGCTGCACACGTCTCTGCAGAGGCTGTCGATCAGCGGCCTGCTGTCGCTTTTGAGACGCAGTGACATGATTTTCATGGAAGACCTGGAGCTGCCTTGCGCACAATTCCGTTCGAAGATGGCAATGCACAAATTTTCAGGGGCATCCCTGGTCGGCTGACCATAGGCCTAGTCCCCCATATCCTCTGCAGGATTTTCAAAAATTGGAATGCATGCTGAGCCCGCTCCAAGTACATCCGGGCAATGGCAGTCTCACTCACGGATCTCATGGTTAGGCGGTTTCGCTGGAAAAGCATCTGCAGAAGTCCCGCGCTTGAACTTTTATTGGAAGTGAAACGGAACTGGGTGTTTGCTGATTCAAAGAACATTCCTGGGATCCCCAGTCATGGAGCCACACGAGGAAACAGTTGCCAGTGGTCAGTACAAGCCTTAGGGCTATGCAACGCCAGCTGCTCCCGTAGATGGCTCCATTCCTGCGATCCCACCCCAGAAATGGTCTTTGAAGGTTGGAGATCCAGTAATCACTTACTCCGGCAAGGATGCCATGCACAAGATTACGGCGACACTAAATCCAGGAATCTTGCATTGCAATCTCCGGCCTCAGGAGCTGGTGAGATTTGAGTTTGGCCTTGCAATGTCAGCATAGCAAAGGTCCCATCAAGCTTAGTCAAAAATGGTACGTTCTCTCTTTCTCCATTTCTCTCGTTCTCTATCTCGTATCCGTCTCTTTCTCACTCGCTCCCTTTCTCTCGCTCCTCGAACCACAGTTGTTTCATTGGACACCAGCTATCCTTTCAACGCTGACAAAATTCTTTGAGAAAACCACGGCTGTCCCCAATCGAATTTTGCAAACAACCTCCTTCCCAAGAGCATGTGCCATCGCACAGGCGAAGAGAAGCCGTGTGCAGACAAATCACGCATGGTTCAACTATTCGGTGCATGAATCAGGCTGCAGCCGAGCAGTGGTTTGCTTGGCCTCAGTAGGGCCAGTCATCATCTCATTAATTGGGATCTATGGACCGCTCTCATAAATATTCCTAGTCAAGCAGCTGGGATAACTCAAGTGTTTTTTGACCATGGCGTACTGCTTTGTCAAGAACTTTGTGAGATGCTTTGCCAGACAGACTCAGCCCAATGCATCCCCAAGGTACCCGAAACTGTCGAGCCTCTTAGATGCTTCTCCAAAACCTTCTCGGTGCCCTGGTAAGGCTCGAACAGAAGGCCGAAGGGCAACCTACCCAGCAGCCTGGGGGTGCCTGAACATGTCCCTGACAGTGGGGAGTCTCGCAATGCGGAGTGCTTGCTTGGGAACTGATTCTTATCCAAAATGCATTGGCGGACCCGCTCAAATTCAAGGATCGCTTTAGACGCTGCATGCTTTCCGCTTCGTCATTTACTTGGCTCTTCAGGGCATACAACTGCTTATTGTTTTTGTTTAATTGTGCGCACGTGTGTGAACAGCTCGAAAGGACAACACGGCCATCGTTGCTGAGCAGGACGACAATCGGCCAAGTGCTTAGTCGATTCTGCACCTGCAACTTTGCGCACAGGTTTGAAATGATTCTTGTGTACAGGACCGTTAGTGCACTGGATTAGAACAGGTCAATGCTTATATCCTCCCACCCACAAACATGGATTGTATCGGATCTACCGCTTAAAAGGTGATCTTCTAGGGACTCTGTTCAGGTTTTGCGGGAAGGAGGGTTGGACACTTGATGCGTCCCTCGCATCCGAAGCAGATGCTTTGATGCAGCCTTGAGGCGCAAGCGAGAGGACTCCGCTCTAGGGTTTGATTCCATCATGATTGAGCTTTTTGTTTGAGGATTTTGCAACAGAGCCATCATGACTGATTTTTGCCCACTTTGACTAGCACTACCACTGCCACTACTGTTGGTTTTGATAAATAGCCCACCCAAACGAGAAGTTCCATTCCATCAAGTTTTCTGGACCCAATTTGTTGATCAGAGTTGCTTGGTATTGTTCCTCCTCCTCCTCTTTCTGTAACCTTTTCCCCATTACTGATGCTAAGCCATTGCGACGACTAGCTCCCTACCTACCCACCCACCTACCTAGCCAACACCAAGCCAGCTGCTACTGCCATTACTGCTACCTGCTGTTTCTCCTACCGCTACTGCTACTGCCAGTGGCACTGCTCTTCTTCTTATTATTCTTCTCACTACTAGTGCTACTACTACTACTACTACTACTACTCCTACTCCTACTACTACTACTACTACTACTTCTACGACTACGACTACGAGTACTACTACTTCGAGTACTACTGCTACTACTACTACTACCACTACTACTACTACCACTACTACTACTACCACTACTACTACTACTACTACTACTACTACGACTACGACTACGACTACGACTACGACTACCACTACGACTACGACTACGACTACTACTACTCCTACCACTACCACTACTACTACTACTACTACTTCTACTACTACTACTACTACTACTACTACTACGACTGCTGCTGCTGCTGCTTCTCCTCTTTTTGCTATCGCCGCTTGTTGAATTTGTGCACAACTATCATTGTGTTTGACCCACTTTACAGCTTTGCAAGCTTGCCCTTGTAGTCCTACACCCGCTTCGCGCATTGATTTTGCTTGTTCTTTTCACGCTCGTTTAGGGTTAGTTCGCTCTGGGGTGGATTGGAGGTTTGTTCACTGGTTGATTTGCGAGGGGATGGGTTTAGGGTTGGTTTATCATTGGTTGGGGGTTGGTTGGGGGCTGGTCCGGGGAGGGTTTAGTCTTGGTTTGGGGTTGGCTACGGTTTGTGCAGCGTTGGTCTAGGGTGGGTTTTGGCTGGCTTTTCTGGGTTGGTTTTGGGTGGGCGACAGTTTAGGAGGAATAGCTTTGGATGGGCTAGGCGTTGTTTCGCGCGGTCGTGATGGGTTGGTTGTGTCAGGGTTGGGGCAGTCGAGATGGGATGCTCAGGATGGGCTAGTGCAGTCGGGGAGGTTGCACCCGGGACCCTGTTAGGCTGTTGCCATTTTTGGTGGCAATGTGTTTGTCGGCCTGCGCCGGCTTAATGGCATGTCATGTCCTTTCGTGCCCTTTCGTTTGAGTTTGATGTATCCGTTGGCCGAATCTCATCGACAGTGTCGGCGGAAGTTCACGGAATTGCAATATCAAGTCTGCAGGTTGCTTCGGCTGCATTTCGCATCCACATCCAAGATCGGATTCTACCGTCCTTTGCGAGGAGTTGCTTGAGCAGCTGGTACGCGTGGTTGCCAAAGTGGAGGCACCTTGACTTGCCGAACAGTCGGTGCACAAATTCTATGGTTCTTTGTGACCCACATGTCAAACGGGGGCTGAATCTTGGGTCAAGCGAGTTCGCTGAGAGCAATTAGTGCCCCTGCTTTCAGGCTCACAGTAGGCTCACGTGGGTGGGCTCTCACACGCACGCGCGCGCGGGCGTTCACCTGCGCCAACGCACGCACAAATGAACGCACCCGTCCGCCCGCACTCTCATGCACTCACATGCACGCCCGCCCGCCCGCACTCGCATGCACGCACAGATGCCCACCTGGTCGTCCGCACCTGTGCTCTTCGCAGGCACCTCGCACAAGCACGCGCGTACGTCCGCTCGCATTGTATGTTTTTCCTTGGACTTTCTGTGCCATCTCCAGACTTTCTGAGCTCCCTGACCCCAGACCCTCAGAGCCCCACAACTCCAAGACTACTCCGATGCACACAAATTACATCCCCACCTATTCGGAAACTATGAGCCCCGGCTTAGAAGCTTTTCCCGGTTGGGAAATTGTGGCTGAGGTGCTATAGTCCTCGATTCAGACCGTCCTTTCCCAGAATCGAACACAAAATCACCTGGATAAATTTGCCACAGACCCAATTTACAGACCAACATATCCCGCCGCAGATTCTACCAAAGCGAGGCGGAGCATGCGTTTTGGGCTATGGTAATCGCTGCAAACGTGTTTCGGAGAGTTGAGCGGCAGCGGGCTGGCTTTTTTTTTTGACAGGTGATGCAGTTCGGATTCGCCAAGACTGAAGCGTCAGTCGCCGGCACCTTGGGACATCAAGGTTTCAGCTGTTGGAGTTGAGGTTACCCAGGACCTAACACCGGACGCGAGAAATGGTTAGGTCCCCCGAAGATCCTCAATTGTCTCAAGATGCGTGGCTTGCATTCTGAAAATAGCTTTCTTTGGTGGGCAGGTCACAGGCGCTCCAATGCTTTTTTGGTCTGTGACTGTGACACGCAGCTGGCTGTGCAATGTCAGAAGCCAGAAGCGCCGCTTGCTGGAGCGCAGTTTTGGTCTGGCGGGTGAAGCAGCTCTTGGGGAGCTTGCCGATAAAAACACTGGATGATGATAGACTCGGCATCGCAGTTGGGCAGCGGCCAAGATTTCCACCTGGCATCACGTCCATGTTGAGCTCACATTCGCATGCACGATCCCCCCGCTCTGCATATTGTGGTGCTTCCAAGCTGATTGCACGCGCGTGCGCGTGCGCGTGCGTGTGCGTGTGCGTGTTGCCTGTGTGTGTGTGTGTTGTGTGTGTGTTGTGTGTGTGTGTGTTGTGTGTGTGTGTGTTGTGTGTGTAGGGGTGCTTGTCTGCGTGCGTGCCTGCGTGCATGCATCTATGTGTGTTGCGAGTGTTGTGTCGTTTGGTGGTTTGTTTTTTCGTTGCTTGCTTGCTTGCTCGCTCGCTCGCTTGCTTTGCTTGCTTTGCTTTGCTTGCTTTGCTTGCTTTGCTTGCTTTGCTTGCTTTGCTTGCTTTGCTTGCTTTGCTTGCTTTGCTTGCTTTGCTTGCTTTGCGTGCGTGCATGCTTGCTTGCTTGCTTGCTTGCTTGCTTGCTTGCTTGCTTGCTTGCTTGCTTGCTTGCTTTCTTGCTTTCTGATTGTGGTTTGTTTGGTTGGCTGGCTGGCTGGGTGGCTGGCTGGCTGGCTGTCTGTCTGTCTGTCTGTCTGTCTGTCTGTCTGTCTGGCTGTCCGTCCGTCCGTCTATGTGTCTGTCTGTCTGTCCGTCTGTTTTTGTTTATTTGCGGTTTGTGAATTGCAGTGTTTGTGTGAGTGTGTGTTTGCGTGTTTATGTTTATGTGCTGCTGGGTTTGTTTGTTTGTTTGTTCCTTGGTTCCTTCGTTTGTTTTTTGTTTGTTTCTGTCTTTCTTTCTCCAGA